ATCAAAGATAACCTCCAGAATAACCAATGATTTTTGCTGCTGGTTATGAGCAGAAAAGCTTGCTTGAACAAAGTGTCATGAATGATCAAAAGTTGCATACCTTGTGCAGTTAAATTTACATATCTTGACGAGTTTCATTGTTTATCAGTGGAACTCAGCACATCGGGAATCAAACGCTGTGCTAGAGAAACTTAATCAAACTTTTGTAGTTAGAAAGTCGAATGAAAAGTACCCACCGAAGGAAAGGAACTCAGCACATCGGGAATCATACGCTACGCTAGAGAAATATAATCAAAATTTTGTAGTTAGAAAGTCTGATGAAAAGCACCCACCGAAGAAAAAGAACTCTCTAAAATGTTTATATAAAGAACACGTCTTTACTTTGTTCAACGAAATAGACATATAGGGTGTATCAAATATTGATTTACCCATTGTTTTGTGAAGCCCACAAGTGCGTAAAATATTGTCAGCTACGTGCATGTATTACATATCTTTCTTACAAACAACAAAACGCATCTGCTCCTGGGAGTTTAACATGACTTCTAACAACAAATTTGAAAAACAAATGCGCCTGGGATTCAAAATAGTGATCAGTTACACAAAATTACGCGGTTTTGAGCGTGCAAAAGCTAGGCTACTGCACCAACTACTGTACCACTCGGCGATTTGAGAAGCATGCCAAGCAGAATACAACATATCAAGAGCTTTAGATAGAATAACATTTATTGCCGTCTATTGCCTCGGGCTTACATTACATAGTTTCTTTGATTTAGCTTGATAATGTCTTTGAAATAAAGTCGAAATATTGCTTTAAATCTTGTCTCGTGTTTTTTTTAAATCGATTCTTGAGTTTACAAGATGATGTTTTTTATAATTTACTTTGACTTATGCTTTGTAACTATGACACCATCATTGCCAAGTTGAAGAAAGGGGTTCACTTGAGGTTCATGTCGAGCTATAACATTGTTAGACAAGTCATGTTCTATATAGGAAAACAAGTCGTGTAATGACGTAAACTGACGTCACTAACATATAGTGCTGTCAGCCCCAACAAGATTTTGTGCATGTTACAGTTGTATGGCAACAACTTTTTGAAATGTCGTTCGTGTCTTCTTTTCAAAATGTCGTTCATGCTGCCTTTTGGAATTGCTGTCCCTGTCTTCTTTTTGAAAAGCTGTCGGAAAATCATAATAGTAAAAAAAAGCGTACATAGAATTTAAGAGTTTTAAAAGTTTTTTATGTAATCTTGGTTAGGTCATGCATGCATTTATGACTAAACTATAACGGGTAGAGACAAAAACAAATAAACAATATACAATGTCAGGAATTGCTATGTGGTGATTTAGTACGACAAAAAGCATGTTCATATTTAATTTGGGAAAAATAGAATAAAATTGAACTCAACCAATGGCAAAGATAGAAAGAGAACTGTAATTCTGATGTAGGTATTTACCACACAATTGTCAGTTTAACAAATACTCTTGATTTTACGTCGAAAGAATAACCTTAATTGTCTGCTTTCAAACAAAATTAGGAACGACATAAATAGGTTAAAATCGTCCAATTAGAATATGTTAAAATGGTAAATTCACAAAGAGTTGAAATTTTCACTAACTACAGACTAAATTTTCAAAAAAAAAGTCTTTCTCGGTCATATCAATAGCCCAAGCGAACTTTTGACGTTGCGTCTTATTGTAAATTTTCTCAATCGGGACATCGTTCTTTAGTCACCTAAATCATAAATTTACAGTTCAAGAATTCAAGTTAACATCAGATCAATCAATAAACTAAGATTTTGAATTTAAAAGTGATGGATATGATGATACTTGGATCTTACCAAGCAATCGATATTCTCGGATCAAGATAATTTAACTTGGAGGTCCCAAGAGCAAATTCCTTATTTTCATTCTAATCAACAACAGCAGAACATTGTGAAGACAACAATAAATATGAATGGCCAAAAAATATTTTCAAAGTGGTTTTTGGATTTTAATAGAAATATGATATTTCATTTGGTAATACAAAGTCAATACAAAGAGCTTCTCAGACGTTGTTTTATAATTCAACAGTAATGACTAACATCCACAATAAAGATTGATGTACTAAAAAGACAGGATATGTAAGTGATTTAAAATGTGCGTGCTAACTAAAGCAAGAAAAGGATACACCATATGAAATTATGTAAAGCTGAACAAGTGTGGCTATCTAAGTTCACCAGAACGGATCTGGTAATAAAAATCACGAAATCTGGCCACACCAAGCATGCATTTACTTGTAGCGAGTCAGAGAACAAATTGACTTAAAGAACAAATTCAATCAATTGTTTAACATGTAACAGTGAAAACGTACATACCTTATCTGTTTGTGAGACTTCCAGTTTAAACAATTGTTCCTTTAAACATTCTATGGCGACCTTTTTCCTTTCGATTTTCCTTTAAAAAAAAAAAATTGTTTAAAATCCTTCATCACGACATCAAACATCTCAACTCCAACACTAATGCTTAGAAATACAAGTTTTATCATCTTGTAGGACATATGGTACATTGCAAAATATTTCTCAGTCCCATTTGTAGAGTTTGACTTTGAGAATCTTAAGAAATATTAAAGTCTACTGGTTTCTTTAGCGTCGTATTTTAAATACATACTTTGCAAGTGTTACTGAATCGCTTCCTTTAGCTTCACGCTTAAGATCCTTTAGTTCAACATTCCCATCCTTTATGGCTTTTTTCTTGTCGTCAATCTATTTCAAAACACATTATTTGAACTACATAATCTTACTTGTTCACGTATGATATCACGTGTTTATCACGTAAAGGTGGAATATCCATAAGCAGACTTTACCTTTTGCTGAAGATTTGACATGGATTGTTCAAACGTCTTTGGAACAGATAGCTACACAAGAGACAACGAACGTAAAGCTTTAAAGTAAATTGCAAACATAGTTAACACACGATCATAACTATAATTAACTCTCTTGGCATTTTACTTTTCACAACCATAAAATTTTTTTCTTAACTCTTAACACAAATTTTTTCATGCAGTCCATGTCCACAACACTACACCTGATGGTTACATAAGATGGCGACAGCTCTGCTTGCGCGATTATAACCCAATACTCTTGCTGCAACATTATCTTCTAACTCAAGTTTATCCAGCTGTTCTTGTAAGGTCATTGATGCATTGTATGTACGGAAGACCTTGGCACTGAGGCCTTCTATTAGATCTGATAGATGTTTGTTTAATGATGTTGTCTGACGAAGAACACAGACTATGAGTTAGATTCAGTCAATAGATATTTTAATGATAAATTAGGGAATGTTGAATGTAAATCGACAACAAATATTTGAAGCAATAGTTTTAAACTTCTCAACAAACAGTCAGCCTATCGAACAGGTCGTCTCCGTCAGTTTTCCCTTGCTGAAACAATTCTTAACTCTTGAACACCTACGTATAGAATGTAAAATAGAATTGCTGAACACTAATTAGAAATAAATTAGAATGGCAAAACACTTATGAAGTAACATATAATAGCTAAACACCATTAGAAAGTAAATTAAAATGATGAAATCCCATGAGAAATTATATATTAGAATCACTGAACACAAAAATAAGTAAACTGAAAAGGCTACGAACAGTTTCTGATGTCTACATTTTCATCGTAACACTTCCAACTATATGCATGATCAAGGCTCAAAAACCATTCTTCATTTTTCTCAAAATAAGAAATGCTTACAACATTAAACTTACATAACAACTAAATTTTACCTTTTTTTCAACAGGTACAAAGTTTTGATAATGAATGGAATCTTTACCCAGAAAATCAAACTCAACTACGTATTCTTTGTCCTCGAGTTGTTTATGAAGTTCTTAAAAATAGAAAATAAAAATATAAACAAAAAAAAGAAAAGATGGATGCTTTTGGTATGGTAACTAAAACATGTATTTATGTTAAAAATGGCTCAAGTTTTCTAAAGTTGATACGCCAAATTAATAAAATACTGACTTTTAGAGATGGTCATACGTTAAAATAAAAATTGCTAGTTAACGCAATCAAAACGATGTTTACTAAAATAATGATCAACAGTTCTTCTCGGAAATTCACTAACATTGACAAACCATAGACAGTATCAGTTTCAAACCATTTACTACAGTTGTTCCACAACTTTTTTTCTAGTATTTGTCATAAGATGAAGTAAACACTTATATTTTGTAAACAAACAGCAAACAGGAAGAATAAGCGTCAGCATTTTCGTTTTAAGTGCCATAAAAAAAACTTCCGGCATATTTTTTCTGTGTCAAAGAAACCATTATGTATGAATAGACAAAAAGATTATTTTAACACGTTGACCCCATCACGAGAAGCTGAAATGCAGAAGGTGTGTTTGCCTCAAATTTGATTGTTTACTATAATAGCTATTCTGATCGAACAAGGAGAAACTTATTATGTACAATAAATGAGCATACTTATGTGCTCATATCTTAGTGAACAGCAACCTACTGTGTCAGCGGTATCTTCGTCCTTCTCGTGACCAGCACGAAGAGCAAGCTATTGGAGGAATATAAAACACCTGGATGGTAAAAGAATGTTCAAAAGCAGAACAAAATGTTCAAATAAACCATTAACTTATCAATGAAATACAACGCTACACCTCTGGAAAAGAGAAATAAAAATGCTGTTAACATGTTCAAAAAGAATACAAACTCCTATAGTTAAATAAATCAAATCCCCCCCCCCGTCAATGGCCAGATATTTCAATGTGACTTCTAAGTACAAAAGATATTCCACTATTTTAATTGTGCAAATTAAATATGTTTAATGATATTTTAATCGAAATATAGCTACTTTTTACAGTTAATCAAAATTTTTAATTAGCACAATAAATATTTCGGAACATAGTTTGTTTCGTATGAGTTAAAATCATCAGCTGACAATGAATATACCTTTGTCTTATATGCATTTCCTTAGATTTCCAATCATTTCAATATCCTTGACGGATTTTACCAATTAAACCCTACCAAAACATTATCAATCAACATCACATCTCTTCCATCCCAATACATACTTTGGAGTCTTGCATAAATAGAATGTTTAGATTTGGGATTCTGAGTTTGGACTTTAGACAAAGATTTATTGATTGCTGAGCAAAGTCGCATTTCAGATTATCTTAATTGGATTCATGTAACAGTCTTTTGCACACAACAATATGGAGAGTCAAATCACATAAAATAATTAAAATAGTTGCACATACCTTTAATTTACGCGCGGTTTCATACTTCTGCCAATCTTTTTCTCCCTAAATTATCAAAACTCATACTTTCAAAAACAACATCATTCTGCACATTACAAATCAACTATCACATATTAATTACCTTGATCCTTGATGTTGGATTTAACATAACGTACTTGTAACTTCCCTGGATATTCTCGATCCAACATGCTAACCACGTAACCTAATAAATGGATGAGAAATCTCATATTGTGAAAATTATTACCATGATTCAAAGTAGATCCATTTATATCCATCAACAACACTGCATGTCAATCAAAGTCTACACATATCCCTCAATGTTTATATTCAACGAACATAATTTGTAAGGAAATGTAACCAGTCATCCACAACTATCACACCTTTTTATCATGCTGAACTGCTTTCCATCTTTGCCCGTTAGGAGGATCGGGAACTTTCGCATCTCTACGTAAAAAGATACGTGATGGCGCTAGTTTTACAGTGTAGTAAACATTTGCATAGTTATTTTTAAAATGCGCTTTTAATATACACGACGACTTTTTTAGAATAGACATGTTTCGACATCTCATCATGCCGTCTTAAGTATGAGTGAGATAATAAATGATACAAGGTTTATATAAAAGTAATATGATACAGAAATTACAGCAATAAAAAGGAAATAAGATAATTAATGGAGAGCGTCCGAGCGTATTATAAACTAAATATTGCATTGAATTTGAAAACTTGAACATTGAGGTCAGGGTTAGTTTTGTTAATGTGGAGTGCTTCTTTGATTTTAAGGGTGAATGAGGTGTCGGCAGTGTCGATGATTTTGAAGCAAGAGGGTGAATAGTTGGTTTTACATAGTGAGATTTAAGAAGGTGTCGGTAGAAACGAGAGTTTTTGTCTGTTGTGGTATGTTCCCTGATTCTGGTGGATAAATGGCCCTATGTTTCGCCAACGTATCGGGAATTACATACCGCACAATTGAATTCATATACCACCATAGATTTAATCGAATCAGGGTGTATTAGACCGTATAACGATATCTTCTCCAGAGGTTCTCAACCCTCACGCTTCTATGGCTTACCGAAACTTCACAAGAAACAAGAACCAGAACAATCGCCCCCACTAGTATCTTAGTTCTCTGCTAACACCACTCATACCAGATGACCACCCCACTAAAGATTCCTTGACTTTCCTCGACGATTCCCATCTTTCAACTCATCAACTTCTTGTCACAAATTCTTCATCTCCTACGACGTTGCAAGCCTATTTACTAACATACCACTTACTGAAACCATCAATCTAGCAATTGACTTAATATTCACTCACAACCCCAGGTTCAGTATAAACAGGACTGACCTCACACAACTGTTTTTAATAGCAACAGCACAGACGCATTTTTTATTTAATGGAAAATTTTATGACCAGACGGGCGGTATTGCGATGGGCTCTCCCTTAGCACCCATACTTGCTAACATTTTCATGGGCTCACGTGAACGAAACTGGCTAAGCAACTACAACGACACTAAACCACTATTTTACCCCAGATACGTTGACGATATTTTTTGTGTTTTTACTAACGAAACTGAGGCCATGAAGTTTTATAATTACATTAACACACAGCACGCAAACATTAGATTTTCTTTTGAAACTGAACAACAAGATCAACTGCAGTAGTATTAGACATGGGGGTTCTAGCGCAAAATAAGACCATGGTTCAAAAGGGTAACCAACACAAAAGGTCATGTAAAGAAAGCTATGCAAAAAAGTCATTGTTTCAAAGTAGTGGGAAAAAGGCCATGTTTTAAAGGGGAACCAACGCAAAAAGGCCATGTGTGCAAAAGTCATTGTTTTCAAGGGGGTAAAATCTCGAGGTTACAATCTATCGTTTAAAAATATGGAATCTATATGTTTTTGAAATATATAGATGTGTTTAAATTTTAAAAGCAGTCTTTACAAACAAATGTTAATAAAGCATCGTTTCGGAGGAAACTCGGCAGCGCAGATCACGAAGTGATCGAGCAGGGGGATGGAGTTTCCGAGAATTCTTGCAAGCCTGGTGGGTAAAAAATTCTAGCTAGAATTTTCGGCTCGCCCCCGTTTAGTCGATCAATTCGAAGAATTCGAGACTGAATTCGAGATATATGCTCTTTAAAAACTATCTTTATAAATAAATGTTGATAAAGCATCGTTTCGGAGGAAATTCGGCAGCACAGATCATGATGTGATATCACGAAGTGATATTACTCCATGATCGAGCAGGGGAATGGAATTTCCGAGAATTTTAGGGCTCGGCGGGGAAAATTTTCACAAAGTGAAAATTCGGAGCCCGAAGTGGTATTCGATGAATATTCGAAGAATATTCGAGAATGGCAGAGGCTTAATATATGCTCTTTTACAAAACTATGGAAACAATACAGCTGGTTTGTCGCCAAGCACTTGTCACCAGTACATGTTATTTCAATAATGGTTGTTTAATGTAACCAGTACTTGTCTCCAGTGCATGTATAATAATATAATGTTTTACAAAACTATGGAAACAATACAGCTGGTTTTTAGCGGCGCGCGTGTCACATGTACATGTTTAACAATGGTTGCTTAATGGAGCTAGTACAATTCATCAGTGCATTTTAATAATATAATGTTTTACAAAATATGGAATCGATATGTTTTTCAATTTGTCTATCAGGCGCGTGTCTTAGTGCATGTTTTTTAACAATGGTTGTTTAATGTAACCAGCACATGTTAATATCAGCGCATGTTTTATAATTTAGTGGAAATAATATAATGTTGTTTAGTTGATTTGTCTGTCAGGCGCGTGTCTTAGTGCATGTTTTTAACTATGGTTGTTTAATGTAACCAGCACATGTTAATATCAGTGCATGTTTTTTAATTTAATGTTTTACAAACTGCCTGCAGCAAACAGTTATTACAAAAGGTATATATGCGGTAAACCGTTTTGTATTAATTACTTGTTACAAACAGTTATGTGATATGTAGTCAAACATGAGGATTATTCTTCATCTTCATCTTTAGGTTTAGCTTGATAGTTATCTTTAATAAATTTTTTTAATTTTTCGATTTCGTCATTTACAAATTTTTTAGTTGTTAGAATATTATCTTCTATAGTAGCCGCAAAATTTGATGAAAAACCATTATATACCATAGACAATGTAGATGTATGTTGTGAATAAACTTGTATTTTGGATAATCCATTAAATGCTTTATTCCATTTTCTTGCCCATTCATTATAATTAATTGAAGAGTTAGATACTTTTGGGGAAATAATAATAGAAATATTGTTTAAATCATCATCAGCACAGTATACATAATATAAATCTAGTATTGCATCAGCTATCTTTTTTTCGTTATCATTTGTTATTTTAATGATAAATTTTTTATTAATCTTATCTACCATAATATCTAATTGAATTGTTTTAGATTTATCAGATGGATTTATAAATAGAAGTGTAAATTCAATAAATTTAATATTATTAAAAAGAATATTTATAATATCTTTTTGGTTACTAACATTTGAGTTGTAATTTAATTGATCACTATGGTATACTACCTTACTATTTACTATATTATCTATTTCAGTCTTAGTATAATAGTTAGTCAAATTAGAAGTCAAAGCATACTTACCATCAGCTTGTGGTTTAGTATAATAGTTATTTGAATTAGAAGTCAAAGCATACTTACCATCTGTTTCAGTCTTAGTATAATAGTTAGTTAAATTAGAAGTCAAAGCATACTTACCATCTGATTCATTCTTTGTATAATATTTAGATAAATTAGAACTTAAAGCATACTTACCATCTGATTCATTCTTTGTATAATATTTTAGTAAATTAGAAGTCAAAGCATACTTACCATCAGCTTGTGTTTTAGTATAATAGTTAGTTAAATTAGAATTTAAAGCATACTTACCATCTGTTTCAATCTTTGTATAATATTTATTTAAATTAGAACTTAAAGCATACTTACCATTTGTTTCATTCTTTGTATAATAGTTGGCTATTCTTGAAATAAAAACATATTTATTATCAGCTTGTATTTTAGTATAATATTTTAGTAAATTAGAAATCAAGGCATACTTTCCATCAGCTTGTGTTTTAGTATAGTGGTCATTAAATTTACCATCAGCTTGAGTTTTAGTATAGTAGTTATCTGATAGATGTGTTTTATCTACAGATCCTTGTATATTTACATTAATATCTGTTTTATCATGCCCATAAAATAAGCTCATTTATATTATTCCTCAGATTTTATATCCGGTTTATTATTTTTATGTTCGTAAACATGTTTAACAGTTGTTATACCACCAGATAAAAACCGTAAAAAAGGTAACAATGGTGATACTTTTTCTACTAAACTGTACACATCTCGTTTTAAAAGGTCGTCTGATTTAAGCTGTTTGGATAATTCTTTGGGATCTTCAATAGCATCAAACCCTTTTAATATATCTGAAAATTTTGGTATAACTAAATCAGTTAAAAACTCATTAGTTTTTTTGTAATCGTTTTTTCTCGTATTCAGTGTATAATTTATCAATAATTTTTTGACTAGCTTTTTTAATGTAAGCAACTGACTTGTCTAAATCACCATCTTCAGCTAGTTTAAGTAATTGATCTCTTTTATTAAAACTTTCTTGTGGTTTATCTTGTATATTATCATCACATACAGCATCTTTGATAGTATCATTTGCGGAATCAATCTCATTAATTATATCATCAATTGTTTCAGGCTCTTTACGCTTTGGCATATACATATATAACACATATTTTATTGCGGAATAACAATTTTCCATTGGTATGGGTATACAAGTTGGATTTCTAAATGTGCATACTTATTATTTTTCAATTTTTTGGTTATTTCTTCTATATCATCTTTTTCAACACCATAAAGATAATCATCAAATATGGTTTTCATATCATTGCGGTTTGTATTATAAAATGTAACTAGATAACTTATATTTTCTCGATAAGGTTTGGCAATACTTGCCAATTGCTGTGTCACTACAATAGTAGAAAGACCATAATGGCGGGCACTGAATGCTAAACGAACTAATTCAGATGTCCTATTTTTAACATATGAACCGCTAGCACAGTCATCAAGTATAATAATACTATTGGTTCCTTTATATACATCACTAACATATTTTAAAACAATATCTACCTGATCTTGGTCACATTCTACCTTAATTAAATCAGAATCATTTATATATTTCCATTCTTGATAGGTTTTATTATATGATAACGTTGGACATATTAGAATAATATAATCAAAATGCCTATTAAAGTTTTTTCCTAACATTGTGAGAAGGTAATGACTTTTACCACAATTTGTCATGCCTACAAGAATCATATTAAAGGGTGTGTTCATTTATATATTACTGGTTATTCTAGTATTGAATACTTTGGAGATCATTATTAACAAATTGAACAAGAGCATCACTA